AAGAAGTACTTCATTTTTACATCTTAGTAAACAGCTATATTGTCTTCTCAGCCACTAGAACTACCTAGATGTTTACCCTTTCAACCATTCTGAGCCTTCAAGAAATGTAAAAGACCTCATATCTCTGTACCCTCATCACATTAGAAGTAATTTATGTGTTCGTTGAGAGAAAAATATGAAGCCATCTGCTTTCTTTTCATTTCATATGTGGTTATTATATACTTAATAATAGTTAAGATAGCAGCAGGAAAGACTGAGAGTCTCTTTTCTTTATTAGCAACTGCTTAGGGATTTAAATTTCAGGGGGTTTATTATTAAAAAATCATTTCATCAAAATTAAACACACTTGGAGTTGAATTTCTTTATATATACATTTTACATTTTGCATCTAAGAATTTTATTTATTGAGTAAATTAAAATTTACCTGTATTTAGTTTTGTATTCATATCATGAGTTTTACTAACTTAAATTGAAAAATAATATTTGCACATAAGAAAACATTAAATAGATGAAAGTATACTGCAGTAAAATGTAATGCACCTGTCCCTCTGTTCTTTTCAGCAATGCTAATTTTGATTCATCTCTCTTTCTAGAAAGACAAGTGTAGACACATGCATTTCTTGTTAGATGTATTCCTAGGTGATTTTCTCTTTGTAATTCTATTCACAAATGAGATATTTTTGCTAAGTTGTTTTCTAGATGTTTTGTATATAGGTTAATCTTTGATATGTATCTTAGTTTTAGAACCACTTTTATTAAATTAATTCTCTTATTGCTTCTAATTGTGTCCCACCAAATTCCATTGTATTTTTCAGCATTTAGTTCTTAAAAAATGTCTGAGGTTGACCAATTTAGCATGAGCATTGATGAATTACTTTGTGTTTTGAAGCCAAAACATCATGAAGGAAAATATATTTGTGTCAAAACATCCTTTTTCTGAATTTGTCTCTGTATCTAGGACATAAAAGACTTCTATCAAATAGGCTTTTAATATACATTTTTTGATTGAATGAAAGCCAATTTAAAGTGAAACTAAAATTGAAATGAAAACAAAATCAAGTTTATAAAACTAAAGTGACAAATGTGCTTAGTTTATGGTGTAATATGTACAGCAGTATAGGAATATGATCCCTCTACTATAAGATGTAGGAAATCTTAATAATGCAGGGCCTTGCAGGTGTATGTGAATGGGGATGAGGGAGACTCGGGGATAGGTAGAGCTTGGATCACAGTCACAACTGCTTTGTTTCCCATAGATTCTCAAGAGATTTTACTATTCAGAGTTATTTTGCAAATTATTATCTAGATACTTAACAAAAACCAATTGAAAAGTATTAGAACTTATAAGTGTTTTTTAGTTTAAGTAACCAAATAAAAAGTAAATACATACATATGAATAATTTTTCTGTATGCTAGCAGTAACCAACTGTAAAGTGCAGGAAATGGAGAACCCCACTTCCCAATAAAGCTTGGTGTAGATTTAGGAAATTTTAGTATAAATCTAGGAATCGCCTTAAAAGAAATAAATGAACCCTATGTTAAGAAAATGATATATGTAAAGATATTTCCTTATGAAGAAATCCATTATGTTCTTGAATGAGAATGCTGACTACCATAAAGATATCAATTCATTATAATTCTTACAAAATCCTACAGGAAATTTCTAGATTTTGACAGAATGATTCCAAAGATAATTTTTAAAGAGAAAGCAACAGTAAGAAACATAGAGAACAAGGGTCAAGGGTACATGGGTGGCTCAGTTGTTAAGCATCTGACTTTGACTCAGGTCAAGATCTTGTAGTTTGTGAGTTTGAGTCCAGTGTCAAGTGAGCTTGAGCCCTGCTTCAGGTGAGCCCTGCTTCTCTCTCTCTCTCCCTCTCTCTCATACCCTCGCTCACTTGTGCCTTCTCTCTCTCCTCTCTCTCTCTCTCTCTCAAAAAAAAAAAAAAAAAAAGAATAGTGCTTCTTTTATGAGATATTACATTATATTTTTAAAGGTACAGTGATGCGAGCACAGCTGCACTATAAAGGTGTATCGGAAAGGATAAATGTCCCTGAAGTAAGACTTTATGATTAATGTAGAACTTTAACAACTTAATAAGATTGTTAACATAATGGTGCTAAGATAGTTGGTTAAATACTTGGGGAAAATTAGATGTATAGCCTAACCTTGTATCCATCCACATAAGTTTATAGGTAGATTCAAGAGTTGAAAGTGAGACCATCTCAAAAACCTATAAGAAAATGGAGATGTAGGGTCACCTGCGTGGCTCAGTCGGTTAAGCATCCGACTTCAGCTCAGGTCATGATCTTACAGTTCATGAGTTCAAGTCCTGCATCAGGCTCTGTGCTGACAGCTCAGAGCCTGGAGCCTGCTTCAGATTCTGTGTCTCCCTCTCTCTCTGCCCCTCCCCTGCTCGCGCTGTGTCTTTCTCTCTCTCAAAAATAAATAAACATCAAAAAAATAATTTAAAAAAATGGAGATGTAGGTGGTGAATGTTGAATCTGGTTGTTGTTTTTTTATGTTGAGTTTTGGGCATTTTCTATATATTTTGGATACTACTCCCTTCTCAGATATGCTGGATATATGATTTACATTTTCTTCCATTCTTTGGGTTGCTGCCTACTTTATTGATGGAGTCTTGTGCATAACATTTAACAGTTTTTTATGAAATCCAATTTTTCTAGCCTTTGTTGTTGTTGCCTCTGCCTGTGGTGTTGTGTTCAAGATACTGCTGCTAAATCCAATGTCTTAAGGCTTTTGACTTCTGTGTTCCTTGTTTTCTAAGAGTTTTGTAGTTCAGCTCTCATATTTAGATCTTTGAGCCATTATGAGTTAATTTTTGTATTTGGTGTAAGATAAGGATCCAACTTCATTCTTTGGCTTGTGGATAGTTTCCCCAGCACCATTTATTGAAAAGACTGTCCTCCTATTGAATAGTCTTGATGCTCTTGTCCAGTCATTTGACCCTTATATGGGTTCTTTTCTGGGCTCTCTATTCTGATTCATCCCATTCTATTTTATTTCTTATGCCAGTACCATATTGTCTTTATTACAGCAGTAGATTTTTAAACCAAGAAATTTAAGACTTCAAACTTTGTACTTTATTCCCCCAAGATTGTTTTGGCTACTTGGGGTCCCTTGTAATTTCATATGAATATAGGAATGAAATTTTTTTTCTTTATAAAAATATTGGGATTTTTGTAGGGATTTCATTGAAGCTATAGATTGCTTTAGGTATTATTGACATCTTAATATTAAATCTTCCAGTTCATGAACACAGGATGTTTTTCCACTTATTCATGTCTTCTTTTTTTCAGCAATATTTTATAGTTTACAGTGTATGTCTTTCATCTCTTTGACTAACTTTATTCCTAAGTATTATAATTTTGATGTTATAATATTTATTTCTTAACGAGAAAGTAGAGGCACTTTTTGTTCAAAAATAATGTAATGGTAAAATTCTTATATAATCAGAAGAGACTTCTGTCATTTGTTCATTAATAGTAATTTCTTTGAGTATCTAATGATATAGAAAAAACCCATAACATACAACTAACTTGAAAATACAAGATATAAAACTGAATAGAAGTTTTTTCAGGTTAAGGTTTTAACATTTTATGCATATAGAAAAATGTAAGAAGTATGTTTAAATGTAAAAAGCAAATGGTCAGTACATTTGTGGGTAATTTTTAAAAAATTTTTCTTTCAAATATTTTATAATGGATGTGATTTTTTTTTCTTAGAAAAAAATTGTACGTTTAAAAAAGGATATTGATCATTATAAGTACTGTTACCTGGTTGGGATTAGATAAACTATGGACTCATTAGCAAGGAGATGAAATGAAATGAGAGGGTCTGCAGCTGTCAGGGTGGATTTGCTTGTTTGTTTTAAGAAACGTTGGCAAAACCAAGCCTGTCTATGTGGATGTCAGTGGTGAGGAGCCAAAAAGCAAGCATTTATAATTGTAGAATATAATATTTAAGGCTATTTTGTTTGTAAAGGGGGTTAACATTTTATTTCAAAGGACTACTATGCATTATCTTGTTTTATGATTCCTGTGGGTTAATTATACTAGATATTTTCTACATTTTATAGATGAGAACAGTTCCAGAAAAAACAATATTCACAGGGTTGTATAAAATTCTCTCTAGCCACAGAATGACAGTGCTGGCGGATAGTCTTAATAGTGCTAGACTAGCGGGGGAACTTGCCGATGGCCTAGATTTATAAATTTAAAGTGCAAATTGGTTATAGGAATATGCAAAATCATTTTGTCTAACCTGCTTTTTTTGAAAAGCCCAAATGTAAGTGATATTTTGAGTGATATTTTGGGTTACTTGGAGATTAGTTGTCTCATTTAAGGTTAATTTTGATCAGTGGTTCTTATATGAAATCCTATATGAAATCTTTGACTACTTTTAGAATGAGCTATGAGCCCACTCCTCGGAAAAATGCCCTTTGCATTTATGTGTACACAGATTTGCACATGATTTCAGAGAGGTTGCATACCTCCTGATTTCTATCCATTGCTACTTCTAGAAGCATACCTCCTGATTTCTATCCATTGCTACTTCTAGAAGCTCTTGATCACAGGTTTAGAACCTCTAGTTTAGAATCCATCTAGGTACTGAGGAATAAAGGAAAAAGGAGAAAGTCTATGTTTTCATTTTAGATTATCTCAAGGAAATTGCTTGTGATATTGGTTTCATAGCAGGCTTTATACTTAGGTGTTATGTCCACTAAGTTTCTAATTGTTGGTTTTAGGATTTTGTACTGAGTGAAGTTTTCATTGCGTGAATGCTGATTTTTTACTGTCCTTAAATTAGTACATTTCAGAGTAGAAATTATGTCAAACATATAAAAAATCTTGAGTAACTTCATATATACTTTCATGTATATAGAAGTGCTTAAAGGTTTGATTTTAGAAAGAGCTGTGTATTTTTATTTTCTATTTTACTTATTTTAAAATAATAAAAAGTGTTATATTTTCAACAGGAGAATCTTATTTACAGTGCTGATCCAGAATCCTTTGAAGTAAATACTAAAGATATGGACAGTACATTGAGCAGAGCATCTAGAGCAATAAAAAAGACTTCAAAAAAGGTGAGTCAGAGGAAGCTTATTATTTAATATGTCTCCAAAATGTATTTTTCAGAGTATATTAAAATTATATTGGCACAAACATCAGTGTAAAGATAGTCTGTATAGCAGAGCTGTTTTCTTGGTTTTAGGAAATGGCCATAGAGGTAATAGTTTTATTGCCGCAAATTCTTTAGCTCTTGTTACCGCTCCTATTCATTGTGATATTTCTGTGACCTGTGCTTCAGCAGAAATGTACTGATGGTGGCTTAGATGCAGATATGTGTGCACTCATCTTAAATACTGCCTCAGATATTTTTCAGCAAAGGGCACATGACAGAGTCAGGAGACCTGGGATCTATTCCTGATCTTATGTATATTTCCATCTTCTTCTAATGATCAAGATCACTTCCCTTCTTACCAGAGTTGAGGACTATGTAAGAATGTTGGTAATGGGGCTTTTTAAAAGTAGAGCTAGCATTTTAATATTTTAAACAAAATTTGCTGCCATCATCTGCTAAATTTACAATTTTCTGTTGTTTTCCTTGGTTTTAAGGGGAGGCCTTCTCCTTTATTTAACCATCCTGGGATCTCCAAGCATTTAATGTGATAAATAGTAAACATGCTGAATAATGTTTCAGTGAGCTCCTTCACTTTTTAATAAGTAAATTGAGGTTCAGGTGGCTTTGGATTAGAGATTTCACAAGTAAATTTTAGCAAAATCAGATAAAAACCCAGGCTTCTCCTCTCTCAGGCCCCGTTTTTCCTCCTGCCTTCTTTCCCGCATTGACTATGGTCCTTTATGAATGCAAAATGGAATAGTCTACAGTGTACTACTACATTTTCTTGTTGTTTGTCCAAAGAGATTCTAATTCTGACATAATAATATTAGTAGAAAATCTTCATGTGTATTTGGCTTTGTTTAATGTTCTTACCAGTTGTATTAGATTTATCTAGGCTTAATTAATTGCAACTTGTTTTAACTGTAGGTTACAAGAGCATTCTCTTTCTCCAAAACTCCAAAAAGAGCTCTGCGAAGGGCCCTTATGACATCCCAAAGCTCAGTGGAGGGAAGAAGTCCTTCCAGCAATGACAAGCATGTAATGAGTCGTCTGTCTAGCACATCATCATTAGCAGTAAGTGACTTTGATCTAATGGGCTAAATGACTTACTCACATTTATGGAGTTGGTATGGAATTTGTTAACTTTGTGAAGATGGAAATCTTAATACCTCCCCCCCCCCCTTTTTTTACACCTGTAAACTTCTAATCTCTTTATTGGGTAAAGGTAGCTGAGAAAAAGTTCACTTAATGAACTAGAGACATAAGAGTGTAGTTTGATAGGAAATTTTATTGGGATTGAAATACGTTAAAAAAATCTCTAAGAAAAAAAAACTGTTTTAATGATTCCCATCACTTTAATAAATCATGTGAATAATGATGGTTCTGTTTAGGTAGATTGGCTCCAATAATATTGCAGGGATTGAGGGTTTTTTTTTAAAAACCTATTTCTGTGATAAGTAGAATATAACCTCTGAAGCTGAAGGATGATTCTAAATTCATGTGTGTATTTTTAAATGTTTCCTGAATAATTCAGATTCCTAGTGGTGTTAGATGTATTTGATATTTAATTAATATTGGGGACATTGCTAACATTCTAAGTGTGTGAGTCATATATCTGTTCTTTGTAAAATTGTTATTGATCTAAGCTAAGGTTAAAGCAAGTGACACTTTAAAAAAATTTTTTTTATGTTTATTTTATTTTTTGAGAGAGAGAAAGAGGGAGAGAGCAAGCATGTGAGCGCAAGCATGGGAGGGGAATAGAGAGAGGGAGACACAGAATCTGAAGCAGGCTCCAGGCTCTGAGCTGTCAGCACAGAGCCCAATGCAGGGCTCAAACTCATGAACCTGTGAGATAATGATCTGAGCTGAAATTGGTGCTTAACTGACTGAGCCATCCAGACGTCCCAAGTGACTGTCACTTCTTAGTTGTGTGTCTTTCATCCATTTTTCTTATTCTCTTATCCCCTGAGAAAAAAAGAGGTTAATAGTACATAGCCATATAGTGTTATTATAAGGATTAAATGCACACACATACACACATGTATATGTATGATGTGATTATATAGGAGACGCAGTTTGAATAGTGGTTAAGAGCATGAACTCTGGAACTTACATGTTCAAATCATGCCTCAGATATTTCCGAGCTGTAGGACTTTTGGCAAGTTATTAAAGATCTCTCTGTTTCAGTTTACTATTAGTAAGATGAATTTAAAGTAGTAGTTGTAAGGATTACATAAGTTAATATATGAGAAGTGCTTTGAACAGTACCTGGCACATCATGAATGGTCTAGTGTTTTGTGAGTAGCTACCTCTTATTATGAGTGGCTACCTCTTATTATATAAAATTTATAGATAAGGTACATAATATTCAATAACTTTTTTTTTAAAGCCAGTTAAGTCTTAGTTAATACATCAAAGACCTACAGTTGAATCTATGAGTATGTTTATAAATATTTTGGATGAAGGTTAACCTTCCAATGGGAGAGAAGTTGTGCCTGATAATATAAATATGTGCAAAGAAATTTGATAAATGAAAATGAATTAAAATGGACAAAATACAGTTAGGCCAAAGTACTGTCCCTTGTTTACTTTCTGCATTTATAGTAACTGTTATAAACATTGCTTTTCAAATGAAAGTAATTGGACTTTATGGAAAATTTTTAGAAAATTATGTATAGTTTTATTACTTTTATGTAGACAGTATAAGAAGTACCTAAACTATCTTTAAGACATTCATGTCCTCTTCTCAATTGCTTATTTCTGTTCTAACAGATTACCCATTTTGTTTCCACAAGCAATACAGTTGGATTTACTAAGTATGTTTATGCACAGCGCTCAAACTCTACCACTGGGCGCTCTCAAAACTCCTGGTTTCGATCTATACGTCATTCTGCCTCCCGAGCTAGCTTTTCAGAGATACTAGAAGGAACTATTGATTTTTCAAATTTCCAAAAAAATTCTATCCACGTCATCTTTGACATTTGTGAAGAATTAGGAGATATGCCAGCCAGTAATGGAAACAAGCAAGCCTCATGAAGTTTAATGTGAGCCTATTAGCTATTTGAAATGTGTATTTGTGAAAAAAGAAAGTATTCTTTCTTCACTGAATCTTTATTAGGTGGGTGGGGACTTTTGAATTCACAACTTTATACCTTCTTTGAATTCACAACAGTTAGGCTTCGTAGAGTTTCTTTATGTATTGACACATAAAGATATTATTTGCTAGGTAATTTACTCTTAAGTCCAAAAAAAAATCAATTCCAGTAGAAATTTTCCTCTTTATGAAAATGATAATTTTTAAAGAATAGTAATAATTGTGATCTAAAATGGATTTTATTTCAAATCTGATTTTTAATTTTAGATTTATGGCACTTATATAAAATTTTGCTTTTTTAATATGGCAGATCATAAATGTTTCACCTGAAAATAAAGTAAGCTTTTATACTATCTACTTAAATCATCTTTGTTATCACTTGAATGGTAATACTTTACCGACCCAGCTCTTTAAGGACTATATTTTACCACCTTGTTGATGAGAACTTTCGGCCATGTACCTATGGGCTCTAAGTTTAGTATGGTTAGCCATTCATGAATGTTAAAATAAAGCAGTAGCTTTCTCTAGAACTCATTTTGATTTACAGCCACTCTGGGATTTTGGGTGTTCTTGTGCATGTTTTCTTATTATTGAAAATTCTGAGGACATTTAACTTTGACCTCTGAAACAATAAATTTAGATAGCTTAGTAACTTCATCTCTATTATAAGAAGTGCTGCTATTTTGCTTAATTTGTATATGGAGCAAACTTGTACACACATACCCCTGTGTATGGGTTGCACACGTGATACAGAAACTCTCTAGGATCTAATGACCTTTAATCGTAGAGACTTGTTTCTCATGAAGTAATTACACTCCTCTGAATTCTGCTTTATGATTTAGAAGAAACCACTAGGGTTTGTTTTTTTATCTCAAAAACTTAGTAATTTATAAATTTTTAAAATAATGTGAAGTAATCATTACTATCTCACAGAAGTACTTTCCTAGCAGTAAGCCAGTATCTACTCTGTTTGAGTTAATATGTAGTTAAGTAGTCCATTTGTGTTTTTTTTCCAGAACACTAAAATAGTTTTAATTTTCTCCCTATCACCTTTCCTGTAATTTAGATTCTTTTATTTATTTGAAGAGTTTAGAATTTTCAGATATTAATTGTTGTGTTAATTTGAAAATAATATGCATAATGCTAAATTCATATTTTTTTAAAAGAAAAATTTTAAGTATAAAATATTTGTCTTGTTTTTACAGGGTATCCCATCTCCCTCCCTTGTCAGCCTGCCTTCCTTCTTTGAAAGGAGAAGTCATACTTTAAGTCGATCTACAACTCATTTGATATGAAGCTTAAAAAAATCTTAATTTAGAGCAACTTATAAACACTTCATACTTAAAAACTGACTTAAATGGTACTTGTCATTAGCACTTGGTGAAAGCTGGAAAGAATATAGGTAACACTAACTATGCCATGTGGTTTTCTTCTCAAAAGAGTAAGGTTAACCTCTTACATTTTTTGAGTAAATTCATGTAAAAAGTTATATTGATTTTGATGTAATTTTTCTTTTCCCTTGAGTCCTTCATTCAAAGACCAATAATTTAACTTATTCATGATATTAGTAGCTTTGCAACTTGGTAACAGTAAATAAATTTTATTGGTGGATGCGAAATACTGCTGTGAATCTCTTTGTATATACAGTGTCAGTGAATGAATTTTTGGAAATACCTATTTGTGTACCTCAGTTTGTGAAGAAATTAAGTGATATCACAGTACTTACTAGACAAAAAGCCACAGATTCCTGATTAATAGTGGGGACTTGTTTCACGTGTCCTATTTGAAGTCGTTGTGTAACTGTTCCTGTTGCAGTATATTTTATTCTTAAGTATTTTCAAGATCTAGAGTGGGGATTTTTAAAGATTTGCCCTTGTTAACAAGAATAATAATTAAAGGAGATTGTTCCAAAATACTTTTGCAAATTGAGATAAGGACAGAAAGACTAAAAAATAATGTTTATTTTTCCAGACACGATATTAGTGTATACTCATAACTTTTTCGGAGACCATATATTTTGGGTGATTTTAGCCACTAGCAAATCTTTATTTAGTTTGATAGTGTGTGGAATTTTATTTTGAAGGATAAGACCATGGGGAGAATTGTGGTATAGACTATACATTTTATGAAATAATTCTAAAGTTGGCATCAGTTTTACTAATCTGCTGTAAAATACATAGCTATGTGTATGGTCTACCTTTTACTTTGGTCCTATAATTAATGTAAAATCAAAATACATTTATTTGCTATTATAAAATATTTTTCAAACCCTGATGTTAATTTTCACAATAGTCTTTTTTTTTTTATAGTCAGTGATAACAAAATAATCAATTATCTATGAATAAATGCATTTTTAGTTCCTATCTGTAAGGAGTACTGCAAACTTTTCTCTTTTAACAATTTCAGTCATCCTCTTTAATAGTTTAACTGACTAAATATTTTTTTGTGTCACATATTTGCCATTTTTAAGTAGTAAAGTGACCATTGATTATTTTAAAAGCAGTGTATTAGTAAGAACTTTGTAAATAAATACTTAAAATTCAAGTATATTTTGTTTCATGTTTTAAACAATTCCTTTACACAGATTTTTAGGGGTCGGTATGAATGCTTGCATCTACCTCTGCTCTCTTATTTGCTTGTGTATTTATTTGCTTATTCCTTTCTCCATTAATGGTTTTGAGCATTACATATACTGAGCTTTATGTAGGATGGCAGCTTTTAATCTAGAATCTGTTTTGCAGAATGGGGGTAGTGAATCCTATGATAGTTTATATAAAATTTTGTGTTTATGTTCATGTATGCATTTTTCTGACAGAAATTACAGAGCTTTTATCATTTTATTAGAAATGGAGCTGTGATTCCCTCCAAAAATATGGTTTTTCCAGGGAGAGAAAATGACATGACATAAGACATGAAGTTGGAAACAAATTGGATGAACACTGGCAAAATATTAGCAGGTAGCTCGTTTTAACTTTAAAGGGAATGCCTCTAGCTTTTCTCATGATGCCTACTCTAGAACTAGTATTTTTGTTATATCCCCACTATCAATTAAAGACTGTTTGTATGGAAGTGCCTGGGTCGCTCAATCAGTTTAAGCATCCATTTTCAGCTCAGGTCATTATCTTATGATTCATGAGTTCGAGCCCCACATCAGGCTATCAGCACAGAGGCCCCTTCACATCCTCTGTCCCCTTCTCTTTCTGTCCCTGCTCATGTGCTCTCCTCTCTCAAAAATAAACAAACATTTAAAAAATGTTTAAAACTGACTGTATCCTTTATCTGTTCAGATGCTTTATCATGTATGGATATTAAATATAATTAAGCTTTCCTTCTCTATTGAGAAAGTGTTTTATTTATTGATCTGTAATCTGTTGCATTACCACAATACATTTTGTAATGTTAACCTATTCTTGGCATTTGTAGGCTACACCATTTAATTCACACATGAGGTATTAAGTATAGAACCATAACAATAAAGAATCACATTTATGAAAGAAATGTAAGAAGATGTTAACTCCATAGCAAATTTGAAAATCTGGAGGACCTAGGCAAAGTATAGCCAAAATTGACTCAAATGGCCCAATAAATAGCACAAGTTAGAAAATTAAATATGCACTGTTAAAGATGCAAATTCCAAATGATTTTAAAGCTGAGTTCCAGCATTTAAAGACTACTTAATGTATAGTAATAGTCATACTTTGCAGAATTAAAAAAGATTGGCAGGTATCCAGTTCATTTCGTGAAGTTAACATAAGCTTTTATCAACATTTTAAAAGAATAACGTAAGAAAGAAAAGTACAGATTAATTTCAATTATGAATATAGAAGTACTCACTCTAAATAAATTACTAACAATTGAGTCTAGAAGTACAGTTAAGAAAATAACAATCTAACCAGATATATAACCATTGGACTGATTAATAAACATAGTAGATCTAAATTGACATAATTATCATGGTAAATGGAACATACTTTTCTTGACTGAAGGAAGAAGGATCAGTCGTGTGACACAGCATGATTACAGGACAATGGTGAATTACAGTAATTTGAAATCTGAATATATTCTCGTCTGTTACTTTGGTCTTAGACTAAAACAGTTTGATTCAAGTTTATATCTTAACTCAGTACCATTATGGAGCCAAAATGGGAAGTCAGTTAACTAACCAAGCCAGCCAGGCTGAAATATAATTTAAAAATAATTTTAGTGTATAACTGAGGTTAAAAGAAAAATATAGTAATCACCAGATGTGTGAAATTGATAGAAATCTAAGCCAAGCAAAATACAAGTTTATGTTTGTGGTGTGTATGTAACATGACAAATTGTGTCCAGAACTTATGTGGTTAAGAATAACCAGTCATTTGAAGGAGTGAGAGAACTTACTCTATCAGAAACAAGGTTTATTATAAAACTAGTAATCAGGGGCACCTTGATGGTTCATTTGGTTAAGCGTCCAACTCTTGGTTTCTGCTCAGATTTCACAGTTTGTTAGATCAAGCCCCACGTTGGGCGCTGTGCTCATGGAGAAAATCCCAAGCAGTTTCCTTCTATCTGTCTGTCTGTCTCTGTCTCTCTCTCTCTATCTGTACCTCCCCCCTTCAAAATAAATAAACGTTTTTCAAAAAAAATAGTAGTCGAGACAGTGAGGTATTGGAAGTTTTGGTGCACTGAATAGAAATTAATAGATCATAATTGAAAACCAGTAAACAGACAAAAGTGACACTTTAAAACCGTGAAAACAGTCTATTCAATAAATGGCGCTGAGAAAAATAGGTATTTTTTGTTCTAATAGTTTATTGTCAAATTAGTTTCCACATAACACTCAGTGCTCATCCCCACAAGTGCCCTCCTCCATGCCCATCCCCTCTCCCCCCCACATCCATCAGTCCTCAGTTTTTGTCATCATTCAAGAGTCTCTCATGGTTTGTTTCTCTCCCTTTCCCCCACCATTGCCCCCCTTCTTCTCCCCCTTGTCACTCCGTCAAGTTCCTCCTAATCCTCCTATACGTGCAAACATATCGTATTTGTCCTTCTCTGCCTGACTTATTTCGCTCAGCATAACACCCTCAAGGTCCATCCATGTTGCTACACATGGCCAGATTTCATTGTTTCTCATTGCCATGTAGTATTCCATGGTATAGATAAACCACATCTTCTTGATCCATTCGTCTGTTGATGGACACTTAGGCTCTTTCCATGTTTTAGCTATTGTGGAGAGTGCTGCTATGAACATTGGGGTACATGTGCTCCTATGCCTCAGCATTTCTGTATCCCTTGGGTAAATTCCTAGCAGTGCTATTGCTGGGTCATAAGGGAGTTCTATTGTTAGTTTCCTGAGGAACCTCCACACTGTTTTCCAGAGGGGCTGTACCAGTTTACATTCCCACCAACAGTGCAGGAGGGTGCCCGTTTCTCCACATCCTCGCCAGCATCTAGAGTTCTCTGATTTGCTCATTTTAGCCACTCTGACTGGCGTGAGGTGGTATCTCAGTGTGGTTTTGATTTGTATTTCCCTGATGAGGAGGGATGCTGAGCATCGTTTCATGTGTCTGTTGGCCATCTGGATGTCCTCTTTGGAGAAGTGTCTGTTCATGTCTTCTGCCCATTTCTTCACTGGGTTGTTTGTTTTTCGGGCGTGGAGTTTGGTGAGTTCCTTATAGATTCTGGATATTAACCCTTTATCTGATATGTCATTTGCAACTATCTTTTCCCATTCCGTTGGTTGCCTATTAATTTTCTGGGTTGTTTCCTTGGCTGTGCAGAAGCTTTTAATCTTGATGAGGTCCCAACAGTTTATTTTTGCTCTTGATTCCCTTGCTTTTGGGGATGTGTCAAGTAAGAAGTTGCTGCGGTGGAGGTCAAGGAGGTTGTTTCCTGCTTTCTCCTCTAGGGTGTTGATAGTTTCCTGTCTCACGTTCAGGTCCTTTATCCATTTTGAGTTGATTTTTGTGCATGGTGTGAGAAAATGATCTAGTTTCATTCTTCTGCATGTTGCTGTCCAGTTCTCCCAACACCATCTGTTAAAAAGGCTGTCTTTTTTCCATTGGATATTCTTTCCTGCTTTGTCAAAGATCAGTTGGCTGTATACTTTTGGGTCCACTTCTGAGTTCTCAATTCTGTTCCATTGGTCTATGTGTCTGTTTTTGTGCCAATACCATACTGTCTTGAGGATGACAGCTTTGTAGTAGAGGCTGAAGTCTGGGATGGTGATACCTCCCGTTTTGGTTTTATTTTTCAGTATTACTTTGGCTATTCGGGGTCTTTTGT